ATTTCATGAACAGAAAAAGCCTTTAATCTTATTTTCTCCTGCTTCTGCAAATCAGATCCAAACATGTAACTTGTATCTACCTACAGAAGAATCTTTGTTTACAGCCATGGTTGCTATGCTCAAATTTAGTAAGTTTTCACAGAATTCTGCAGAGCAAGTAAATATAACTATAGCTAGGAAAAGGGACAACATCTATAAACATATCAGGAATCCTGGGGAAGGATTTGTATGCATAAAACATTGCTTGCTTTTTTAACAATTATTTTCATTAATCTATTAAAATGTATTGTTTCTCCCTACCAACCTCTCCTCAAAACATATAGTCATGCATTTCAAAGCCAGAACAACTGGTCAGGTCTGATCACTACTGCTGTACTTGCCAGAGAATCTTACCTGGCTATGCTTACAATAAGACTATGCTATTTTTGAGTCTCCAGTGGCTTATATAAAGAAGTAAACTTACAAAAATACATGTTCTCTGACTTTAGCTGAGCTGGTAACTTTGCCTTTGGCACTGCAGCTGCTACACTTGATGGGTTTTCTCCGGTTTCCTGTACAAGGGTTATCTGAAAATTCCTCGCTGTTTTACTGTGAGTCTTGATCACAGATCTGAAACTCCTGGATTCAGGTAATGATTGGTGAATATCAGCTCTCAACAGGGGGAAAACATACCCTTCTCACTTCTGATAGCCTGAAAGAGAACTTGAAAACCTAAAGACTCAAGGACCAGAAAAAAATCCAGAACAGCAACCAACCTTATTAAATTCCACAATTTCTAGACCAATTTCACATTTGGAGGCCTTGAGTCATGATTTCAAACTGTCTAACTGCTGCAGTATTCAGCATTTGACAGAACCTCCCTGCAGAACACCACAGCAGGCTCCTTATGAAGTAAGGCAGAGCAGGAGTCATGAGGAGGGTGGCACTATCTGACAGAACATGGCACCTGGCATTCTTCAGCTTTCTGTGTTTCTCAGAGACACCCCAGATTTGTCGCTAAAAGGATGCTTTCCTTACTGACAGTGCTCTGCAGCTTCTGCCTGCAGGAATATACCAGAGATTTTGGCACTACTGCTGTGAATGTGTTATTTTATGAGGAGCCTTTCCCCCTCTGCACTAAGGGGAAGAACACAAGACAAAGTCAAACAAAGCTCTTATTCATTGCCTCAGCCCTTTAAGTCACACACCCCCATGCCTACGCATGCACATATAGACACACTTCAGCAAGAGCCTTCCTTGTGTGTGCTCGAACAAGCACAGCCCCAGGCAATGAAAGGAGAAAGGGCCCTCATAATTGTCATTTATCAATATTCATAAAGAACCTGCCTTAACCCCTCTTGTGTATGCTCAGGGAAAAAAACCAAAAACCACAAAATGAAACGCAACCAAAATAAAAATAAAATGAAATAATCATCTCACTGCTCATTACCGCAGGGGATTTCCTCTCAATGTCACCACTGCCCTGCGCAGTAATTGGCATTATCTGTTACCTCTGAAGCCATAATAAGGTTTGCCACGGGGCATTTTCTGTAATCATATTTTTATTTGTCAGCTTGTGAGATGCAGACACCGAATATGAGCCCGACCAAAGCCGGAGCCCAGGGCCGGGAGGATGCGCGGCGCCAATCCCCGCTGCCGCCGGTGATGTCACGCCCAGCCAATGCGGCTCCCGCCAGCCCTCCCTCCGCTCCCACCCGCGGCTGCCGCTGCAGCATCCCCAACACCGACATCAAAGAGGCTCTTCCCGAGGAAACCAAGGATTTGTGACCGACCCCAATACGTGCTCCCACATTCTTTCCGACAGAAAATACAGTCGGCGCTGAATTAGCCGAGAGCTCTCCCAGAGTAGGGAGGCAGGACATTCAAAAGGGACTATTGATTTGGGGCACCCAGCAGAGGTATCTTAAAGGCCCTGAATTCAGGAAAGTGGACACCCAGTATTAGGTGAATGGCAGCTTAGGAAAAAAAACAATCCTCATCACCTCTGTCCAAAGAAAACTTCCCAGGCTTGGATGGTCTTAAACTGATGTCTGAGGAACCTCAAGTTCCTCTGCCATTTCTTACACCGCTGCCGAGTGCGTCTGCTCCAGGCACTGCAGAGCAGTGCAGAGCCCTCAGAGCAAGCACAGAGGGAGAGCTGAAGTAGAAGCAATAATGCTGCATCACTGAGCTAACTGCTTGGCTTGCCAGCTCAGGCAAAGCAGCAAGGTAACACAGGATCCCATGAGATACCTCTGCATGGTGCTCAGTTTGCTGCACGGTTGCCTGTGGGTCCCTAGCCTGGCACAGTGCTATGTACACACAGAAGTCCTCAGAGGACCCTACAGTGCGTTATCTATAAGCATTCTCCCGTGGACAACCTATATCATAAAAACCCCATAAGTGACTGCACCACAGAGTGAGGTACATCAAATATTCCCCCATTGTCTCCAGTAAATAGAACAAGAACAGAAAGCACATACATTTTTAAAACAACACACAAACAGACTCAAGCTCTACGCCTATTCTACTTCCTTTTCTCAGCTGCTTGTTTGAAAACACCTCTCAGACAGAGGCTATCTCTCCACACAGGAGCAGCAAAAGCCTTTTACTGATGGGAGGATTGGGGAATCCTTCCTGAATCTCTGATTCGGGAATCCTGGTGCATCAATGCATTTTGAGCAGTGAATGTTGACTGTGGTTACATACTCCTGTGAAAGTAAGCCACAGGTATTTCAGAGTGTTTTGGGAGGTACAGGAAGAAGATGGGACAATGATATGGGGCTGGGGATAGCAGACCATCAATCTATTCTGCCAGTACGTCAGAAGCACACACATTTAGTCATTAACCAAAGCAGAAGCCTTCATTTTTCAACGTGGTCATAACTGGATAACCTGGTTGATGAGATGATTTGTCATTTCACTGCCCCATGACAGGACAAGGTCAGGCTTCATTGCTTAGGAAAGCACATTAACTTTTATACTCACACGCATGCACACATATGTATTTATGCATGCTCTGATTTTCTGATAACTGTCTAGAATACAACTCAGAATCTAATATAACACAGACCACACGAGTCTCAGAGTGACCTGGAGGGAGAGCTTATGATTTACTGCTAACTTATTCAGAACTAGATGCTAGTCAAGTGGGAGTTAGCAAGGAGACAGGGGATTTACTTATTAGTAAGACTACTGCCCACAATCCAATATGTTTAACAGAGGAAAATGGATTCCTCAAGAGAGAAAGGCACTCTGCCTTGAAGATTTCACATATTGTTAAACCTGCAGAGATGCTTGCCTGTCTGTCTGACATGAGACTCACCATGATCCTCACTCAGTTTGTTAAAGTCTCCCAGATCAAGAGGTATCCATCATAAGCCCAAAGGACTAGCATGTATGTGCATATATGCATTTTTTTAGTACAAACTATCCCAATGGAGATTCAGATTTCTCCAGAATATTCATTTGGAAGAGTAAATAATTTCTCTTCAGTTGTACTTAAACATTTTCGAGTCTTCTTGGATTGGATTTCTAAGTATTAAGCCAACTAGGAAACAGAAACATGTATGTATGCAATCCACCAGTGGTTACACTGCCCAGCGTACATAAAAAATAACAGCTCTGCAACCTACCAAGGTTGTATGCTGGTTCTAAAATGGTCAGGATCACTCAGTGCAGTTGATTAGCGGGGAGGAAAAATTGTGGAGTTCATAGAATAAAACTGATCAGACATCTCTGCCAATAGAGTAAACTTAGATCTTCTAGTTAGGGTATGCAACCTGCTCTTGGCCTTTTTGGGAATTTCTCTGACTATTGTAACCCTGACTGTACCAGGTAGACATTGTCCTAAGGACCGTCTCACCCAGATCTACCACCTTTGAACTGTCTCTTCTGCTAACAGTACACTTTTCTCAATATATCCTCAAGAAAGGCTCTTCTTTCCATTCAGAAATACGCTTTCTTTCTGATTACTATTTCCTGTTGAAATGAATCAGAGATGATGGGGGAGGGCTAAAAAAGCAAGTTAAATATTTAAGCATCCATTTTTGCTGTAGCCTTTTATGCTGGGGCCATCTGGTTTGTGAGTTTTCAGCAGAGAACTGGGGGTACAGAAAATCCCTGTAAGGTTGCTGAGAAGTAACCACAAATGCAAATCCAGCTACTGCAATATCTATCTGTGGCCCTTGGCCTCCTGGAGTTGGGGATCTATGGCTGGCTGTGGCTATGGAGAAGCAGTCACGCAGACATAATGTAGATGTTCTCCCTCAGCCAATCTAAATGCAAGGAGATGCATTTATGAGAGCAAGGAGCAGGCAGTTGTGGGTCAGCAGCTATACAGAAACTCTTGTGCTCAGACTGATTACAACAACTTGATTTCAGTATAATTTAAATTACCTAAACTTGCTGGAGATGAAGGAGAAATCGGTCAAATTTAAAACACCACCTGATATCACAGGTTAAACCACACCCGATGGTTAAATAATATGATGGAATTAGAAAGTATAAGAAAATTCTTCCCTACTGGAAAGGAAATTAAAGGCAATGGTGACTCAAATGCCCAGAAGGGACTCAGTGAAGGTTGCCAAAAGCCAGCAGGTTTTCAAAAAATGAAGGAAGCCGTAAAATGACTTTGTTGTATTTGCAATTGTCCCAGGTTTCTTCAGGGATTCATTTTGATATAGTGTATATAATCTTAATTATTAGTAAGTGTCCCAAAAATTATGGAAATGAAACTGTTTTTCTTTGGTAGTTTTGGTTTTTCTGTTTAAAGCATCACCTGTGAATGAATTCTCCTCCAGTGAAAAATGACAGACAATCTTCTCCATGAAAAGTCCATCTGTGACTGGTACATTGTCTCATAGATGGTCAAGAATTAAAAAATACATCAGTATTTTACCCAATGCTTTTAGAGCTTTACAACATCAGTAATTTATCAGAAAGTAAAAATATCAAGGTAAGATCCCCTTACTATGTGCTTTTATGTAACAGGTAACTCCTGTGGAAATGGCTGTACTCACCATATTGAATGACTATGGCAGAAGTCTAAAGCAGAGATGATTTGTCGGAAGAACTTCCTGGCTTCTTTTGGTGTCAATCTTCCCTTTTTTACGAGATAGTCGAAGAGCTCCCCACCTGACACATGTTCTAGCACCAAATACCTAGAAAATAACAAAGCCAGGATTTTGTAAGTACGTGATCATATCAACCCCTTCACAGTCACACAGTTGCACACAAACACTTCTGTTTATGGTCAAGGAGATCAGTGCTTCTACATAGTGGTCAAGGAGAACACTTCCAGAAATAACAGCGGAGGAGAATCAGAATTTTAAAATCAGGAGCGATTAGTATTTTTAACAGGGGTCCTGCAAACTTCAGACCTGACACTGTTGGATTCAGCGTCTAATATCATAGTGAGAGAGAATCAAGAAGCAAAAAGTTACTCAAAAGACCGGAGGGGAAGAAGAGAATAATCAGGAATAAGGTTCCACAGCAGCTCTTCAAGCTACAGTGGAGTAAGACTGTGTACCAGGAAGCCTCAGGTCCTTTAACCAAGCTGACAGTTTTTTCATAAAACAGCTGTAGTAAAGCTTCACTCAGAAAGAATCAGACAGATGTCAACAAATTAGAGCAAATTAAAAAAAAGGTGAACCATGTAAATTATGGAAAAAAAAAACCAACATGTGTGTAACCTACATAAAAGATTCAGATTTTGCTGCTGAACACCAGTTATTTGCTGGAGTAGCTTCCTGTCCTTGCAACTCAAATGTGAAAAATGTGACACTGAGTGAATAAATACGGCACGAAGGGGGTCTAAGAGCGATAGAGGAAATTCCAGGCCTCATATTGCACTCCTGGCAGTCATAGAGCAAAAAGTAAAACCTTCTGCAAGGAAAGAACTTGCCATAGGTGGACCATCTTGCTGTAAGTTGGGGAAATGAAAGGCAGCCAAGCAGAGGAAAACAGTATAAATCTCTGGAAATGTTGCCGAATAGTGGGAATGAAACAGTTTTTCCAGGAAAGTGGCAGGAACGCCATCAACAGAACCACTTAAAAACAAACCAGATACAATATGGACTAAGAAAGAGGATTGCTTGAAATCTCCATAAACTTTTTCCATCTCCATTATGATTTTGGGGCCTAGCGTCTCCTCGCTTTTTTTGCTTCGTCCATGCTATTTTAATACAGAATGAAGAAATTACAGAGTGAGATAATTTACCCAGAATCTGAAATAACAAGTATAAACATCAGTGTAAAGCATCAACGTACAGGTGAACAGTGGATTCACACCTTTGGCAATTTGTTTGCAAGACACCACCAGAAAACTTGCAAACAAGAATTAGTTATTTTTCCAATACATTTCCAGTACATTTTTTGAATGTACTGCTCAGTCCCTGCCTCCCAACAGCACAGCAGACCAGGTTGAACTGTACGTGCACTATGATCCATCAATCCTGCTTTACAGTAGGATAGTTTTACTACCAGCATTAATCCACTTCTTCAAATTTGAGTGGACAATGAAAAATAATTAATCCAGAATACTGTCTTTTCTGTACCTCAAGCAGCATAACCTCCAAGGAAATTTCTGAATTTGAAATGGAAAGTGAAGAAGACTGTTATCAATTTGGAGTCTTAATTATTACTGTTTTCAATGCTTCCAAAAAGATAGGACAGAAGAAGGACTAAAAGCAGTTCTGAGGAAAGTAAAACTGCCTTAATGATAATGGCATTAGCCTTGAAGTTGCAAAAGTGGAACCTGGGTTCCTGGTTAATCATCAGCTCCTGAGCAACTTCCATGTGTCAGTTCTCACCTAATATATGGAGAAAGCGCTTCCCTGACTTACAGAAATAAAGTAAAATCTGCAGTAAGACAGACATTAATACTGTCTTCCAGTTAAATATGTACTAAGAAAGCACAAAAAATGGACAACAAAATGAAATTATAAACTTTAGGGAATTTTTTATTTTCTGCATTTTTTATCAAAATAGAAACATTTACAAGAAATATGGTAATACTGAATTTCCCCTCTTTCATTAAAATGAGTAAAAAAAGAAAAATCTTAACTTGAAAATCACATTTGGAATATGTGGTTTATCTTCTCTCAAAGACAGATGAGTAGTTACTAGACTGTCTACTGAGTACACCTTGGTAACTTGGAGATCGCTGTGTATTCACATTACATTTTTTGAGTAAGTCATTGAAATGCTCAGAAGAAAGCTGATATGCAGTAACCAGAGGCACTGGGGTATCCACATGGTCAAGTCCCAGTCCTTGCTGTCTAAGCCTTGGCTAGGAGACAATCTGATAAGAGGGTTTGCTATATAATTCATTCTCTGTCTCACATTAGAGACAGATGTGGCTAACTATCCAATATGGCAGACTCAAGCCTAGCACAGAATCAATCCTAAGATTCCTCTTGACAGCTCCCTCTCTCACTGTGCCCAGCAGAAGCTGGATACCAGCAGTGCATCTTGCCCCCAAAATTCAAATTGCTAGCTGCTTTCCTTTTCTGGGACGTATATTACAAAGATGATTGCAGTTACAGGCATATAGAACACCCTCCACACTGCTTTCAAATGTGCAGTTTTGGAAAATTACAGACCCAGCATTTCTGTCACCCACAGCAGGAACTGCAAAGCAATTTATTTTCATCAACTTCATCTTATTAAAAACACTCAACAAAAATGCACTGACACGTTGTATGAAAAATAAAACAAATTGAAAGACAGGGAGCATTTACAAGGTTATTCATTTTTTGCTTGCCACCTAGAAGCACTAGATATAATAATGGAAATGAACAGGGGAGAGCATTTGAAAAAGATTTGTGCCTATGACAACTCAAGGGACACAGAGAAGCACAGCGACGATGTATTCTGATCTGACAAAGCCCCCAACGTGACATGAGTGAGAAGGACGACAAACACATTCCCCAGTGGATGAGTGCAAGATATAAATGCTGCAGGAATCACTCCACAAGTACTACATGGCTATGTTGCAGCTAGGATTCCTGAGTTCAGATTTGCAGCTGGTCACCCACCAACCCTGTTCCCGCTAGTATGACATGGGTTTTTTAGGATAGCCCCCAACTAGGAGATTTTCCATTAAACAAGGGCATAATTCAGCACCTGCCTCCATCTCTGTGCAAGCCAATGTTCTGCTGGCACAATTCATGGCACAGTAGTAGTACACTTGTTATTTCCAAACAGGACAGCAAGAGGGGTTTAAACATTTCCAAGTGTTGCACCGGTTCTAACTATCACTGCACAGCTTACACAAACCCCACTAAGTGTTGTATATCTGTATGTATCCATCTGTGTATGTGTGAGTGTGCCTAAGTGACTCCACAGAAGAAGAGAATAAACACTCCGAAAAGCCAAACAGAAAAAGCAAGGGAAAGAACATTATTCCAGAGGCTGGAAAATAAGGCATACAGACACTACATCTTTCCTGAATCCATGGCACAGAAAAGAATCCAGATCTCCTGAGCTCACATCAGTGTCTAAAATCCTTTACTTTAGCAAAGTGCTATAGGATTGGAAGTATGCCAATGCCAGCTCTTGGAGGATCTAGGAGAAGGTAAATAACACATAGCCTCTAGGGGTGAAAAACACTAAGAAGCATTTTCCTGAGTTTCCTTTCCCTTTTATCTTCCCCAGATATGACAGGTTCTCATTTCACTATAGTACTACTTTTCCCATTTATTCTAAGCAAGTAAGCAAATTCTAAAAATCCTGGAACAGTAACCAGAACTACTCTCCTATTACATTTAGAGATGAAAAGCAACTTATTGGTGAATGAAGCTTTTATTTATTTATTTTTTTAATCCTATCTATGTAAGATTGACAGCATCAGTCCTCCCATTGTGAAAACATAAGAAAACCCACTCTGTAAGAGTCATTGCAAGGAGGTTCAAGGAAAGGAAAGACCCAGCCTCTGGCTGGCGGCATGCACGCTACATGCTGGGATAATACAGAGAGGACCTATATTAGGACAAATGATGCTGTAAAAGCACTTAGGTCTCACATGTTGGATGCTCTGGACACACACCAGCTCTTCTAATCCTTGCATTTCACATGAGAGAAGCAAGTATTAACAAGCATTAACCTCCTGTTCTTTACTGATAGGGAACTGTGAAGCAAAGTGACTTGTCCGGAGTTACAGTCGCCCAGTATCAGAGCTGAGATTAGCAGCTGTGGTCCCTTGTGCCTTCTACTCCATGCTGTACCCACCACCAATTTCCCCTCTGCTTGCTACGACACTGGAAAAGCCAGAAAACATCAGGGTTCTGCAACTCAATATGAAACCAAGTGCATGCTAAAAATAAATTCTCGATTACTTTTCCTCACTAGATATATTCTTTATGAGGTCGCAAATATTTTCACAGGCCACAGCTTGCTTTCATAAAGACACCGAGGTCCACGTCTTGTATTAGTATCTTATGTCCCTGCTACAAGCCAAGACATGAAACTAAAAATCTCCGATTAAGTTTCAGAGCCTGAAGGAGACAAGACTTTGGTCTTTAAAAACAAAGAAGCTGAATACTAAATACAAGAATAATTTTGTTGATTGGAGAGGAACAGAGAGATTGCATCCAGCAGCATTCTATCTATTCCCTTTGTCATTTCTCCATCTGCATCCCATCATTACCACCTCCTCAATGAAAGATTCTGAATTTCTAACCTCAAATGACCCACTACATATCATATCAGAGATATGCACACAGCTTATAAAAGCAAGTTTAGAATAATCCTAGGCTCTTTTTTTTCTTTTTAGTTCATTCCATTTACTCTTTCAGAAACCAAAACAGTAAAGAAGGCTTTTAGGGTGGGTGTTAACTTTGACTCAGGCTTTCTTCAGGTCCCTATGCCTTGGTTGTACTGGTATCTTTTATATGTTTTCTTTATTATACCTCTAAGATAAGGGTTTTCCTATCCATCCAGATAGATAAACTTTCATGTCTAATTTTAGCTAGATATCTTGACTCTGAATTAATTCATCATTATATCTTTGATAAACACATTCTAGCTCCACTTTTGGTGATGCAAAATAGATATCAGACCATCACAGAAATATAATTTTCTTAGCCACTTTGACCACTCCTTCCATGCCTCCATCATCCTCTTTTTTTTATACTTCATCTAACATGAACTAGCTTTCTTC